TGTTATCAAATCTTTTTGTATTTGTCCTTGTCATAGATCCAGCTCCAGAATGAAATAAGTGACCTATATTTTTCCTAATTTTTCGAGAATAAAGGTCAAAAGTCACTTAACTTCTGATTATAATTTAAAATCAAACCTTAGGTTGAAGTTTCGTCAGTGGTCAAGGACATATATAAAACTTTTTCCTAATTGCAAGAGTAATACTCGATCAAAAGTTTAACGGATGTCAAATATATTCGATCAAGTAAATTTGACCCCTTTTTTTGAAAATTGATTTCTTGACGACAATGGAAAAGTGGAGTCCATTACTCGAAATGTTATTGAGCTATGTGAAATTATGAAGTAAAGTCACTTTTCTTTCATTCGTACAAGAAAGTCACTCAACTATCCATATTACACTCTAATGATCACTCAATCAAATTTATTGATTTTTTTGTAATTAAAGAATTTTATTACCAAGTAAATAGTTACAGCTTACAAAACAACCAACTACAGACATCTTCTGCTGGACATGAAGCCCGAGCATGCGATTTCTTCTCTACTCCTTAAACTCCTATTACAATCCTTACTTAGCTCATACTGGATACCAATTCATATTGCTTAGATAAGTATCCAGTTTTTTATAATTTTGAGCTCTTATATGTATCTCCTGAACTATCGTTTATTCACTATACTTTGTGCATTGATTTGTTTCTTCTGGAAAATAATAATGTTTCTGGCTTGCCAAATATGGTAGCCTGCTGCAGCCAAAACCATTCTATATTCTCTTCCCCGTTGCATTCTTCTCTGCCCATTGAACTTCTTCTTTCTACTGTTTTTTCCTTCTCATGACCCCTTGCCAGGATAGCAACTTCTGCCATATCTCGTTTGAATAATCACAGTCAAAAAATAAGTGTTGCACTGTTTCATTGTTCCTGTGGCACATTGTACACAAAGTTTCATCTACTAAGCCCCATCTTGCTAGTCTTTCTTTAGTAGCTAACCTGTCTTGTATAGCTAGTCTTAGGATAAAGATCCACTTTGGCATTCCCTTGTTGTTGCATACTAAACATCTCCATGTCACCTTTTGGAATTCCCCTTGTAGTGCTTTGTACATCTTTCTGGTGGAAAAACTATCACTGTACCTCACATCATCCTCTGAGTATCCAGCCTCTTGGAATTATGCCTTGGCCTTGAATATTTTTTGAATTACCCAAGAGGCATTCTTTGGTTCAGTATCTCATATATTATTATCTTTTATATAGTATGCATGAACCCAATGCACCCACAACTTCTCTTTCTTCTTGCAAATGTTCCAGAGCAATTTACAAATAAAAGCTTTATTCCATAGTTCTATGTTTGTGAAGTTTAACCCCCTGCTATCTTAGGTGCACATAGTTTGTCCCAAGCTATCAAAGCTTTCTTTGTTGGTTCAGCACTGCCCGTCCATAAAAACCTTCTGCAGATTGCTTCACTAAATTGTATAATTTTCTTTGCCAGAATGAATACTTGTGCCCAGAAGTTCTGAATTGTTCCCAACACACTTTTGATCAGTGTTGCTCTTCCTGCATAGGATATAAACTTGGATGTCCAGCATTGAATTCTATTAAGCATTTTATCAATTAGAGGCTCACATTGAATTGTTGACAATCTTTTTGTACTCAAGGGAACACCAAGGTATTTAAAAGGTAGATCACTTTAGTGTATCCTAGTATTTCCATTATCTTTAGCTGTGTCCTGCTATCTACACCTCCAAAATATACACTGCTTTTACTTGTGTTTGCCACTAGCCCAGAAGCTGCAGAAATATTTGGAATTGCTTATGCAATGCCACAACAAACTGCACATCTCCCTTACAAAATAACAGCAGATCATCAGCAAATCCCAATTGTATTAGTCTCACTTTAGCACACCTTGGATGAAATCTGAATTCTTTGTTGTTACCTAGCTGCTTCATTAACCTACATAGGTACTCCATAGCAATTACAAATAGCAATGGTGAAAGGGGATCTCCCTGTCTTAATCCTTTTTTTGCTTCAAATGGCTTGATTGGCTTCCCATTGACAATGATTGAATATGAGACAATACTGATGCAAACCATTACCCATCTTACATATTTTTCTGGAAGTCCCAATAACCTCATCACCTGTTCAACAATACCCATTCCACAGAATCATAAGGCTTTTGCATATTAATCTTTAACATACACCTAGGTGATATATTCTTTCTCCTATAACCTTTGACCAGTGCATGACTCATTATAACAGTATTTGTGATTAATCTTCCTGGCACAAAAGTTGTTTGACCATTGTCAATCAAATCTGGCATGACTTCCTACAGTCTAGATGTTAGTATCTTGGAGATAATCTTATATAACACTGTACAGCATGAGATAGGTCTGAATTCTTTAATATTACTGGGGTTCTTCACTTTTGGTATTAGGGTAATAGTTGTACAGTTGATTGGTTTGCACATTACAGATTCCTCAAAAAACTCCATCACAACTTGAATCACCTCTTTCCCTATGATATGCCATGCTTTCTTATAGAAGAATGCATTGTATCCATCACATCCTGATGCTTTATTGTCATCAATACCCTGTAATGCTTGCTTGATTTCATCTTTATTTACTGCTCTTATTAGCTTCATTTGTTGTTGTCTACTTAGATTGTAGCCTTGATGCATCACTTCTGTATTAACTGCTGGTATTTGAGTTGTTGCTGTTCCAAGTAGCTGCTTGTAGAACTTCAGTATTTCTGCTTCCACATCATTAGCATTCAAGAGTAGTTGCCCTGCACTATCTGTCAATCTTCCAATGTGATTAGTTGCTTGTCTATTCTTAACGCATGCATGAAAATATGTTGTATTTGAATCTCCTAGGTTTAGCCATTTAATCCTTTATTTCTGCTTCATTATACTTTCCTCAATTTCAAGCCATTTAACCAACTCCATCTTTGCCTCTTTTTCTTGAGCTACACTTTCAGTGCTATTCTCCAGGTCCAACCATTTCTTCATGAATCCCTTCCAACTTTGCTCTTGCTACTAGAATTTTTTGTCCAGTACTGTTAAAATCTTGATTATTCATTTGCTTCAGCTCGGTCTTTAGTATCTTGAGTTTCATCCACACCTTGTTCATTGTTGTTCCACCACCCCTTTTTGTCCAACATTTGTACACAGTATCCTCAAACTCTTTGTGTTGAGTCAAGCTTTTCTATTCTGCTGGTCAGTATCAATTGATATGCTCAAGGGGCAATGATCAGAAAATCCAGGTTGCAACATCCTCCCCTCCATCACAGGCCATTTCTGGATCCATGCAGCATTGACAAGTATTCTGTCTATCTTACTATGGACATGATTGTTTGTCTAAGTGTACTTCCTTCACTATTCTCAATTCAGTTAGTCCAACCTTCCAAATGAACTCTTTGAAATCTTACTTCAAATTCCTATACTGGTGTCCCTTGTATCCTATCTTCACTAGATAAAATAGTATTATAGTCCCCTATTAACACACAAGGTCCATTAATACCATCTATGGTTTTTCCCATATATTCCCATAATAATTTTCTATCTTGAACAGTATGCATACCATAAATGACCCCAAAGTTAAACTTGTTGCCATTCTGGAATTTTGTTACCTGCCCTATTATGTATTGCTTGTGTATATCATAACTTTCAAATTCCACCCTTTTCTGGTCCCTAACAACCCATATTTTTCCACCTGGAGCTACCGTATAGTTTGCTATCCATCTCCAACTACTAAACACTTTCTTTATAACAGATTTTGCCTTTACTTCCTTAACTCTATTCTCTAACACAACCATTAACACCACCTTATTTTTCTCTAATAATTTTTTTTAGTTCTTTTTGCTTGTACCCCTTATTCAATCCTCTAACATTCCAAGATATGATGTTCATTGTTTTATGGATCTTGGTTTTATAGTACCACCTCTGCCTCTATCTCTAGGCAGCTCTCTACCTTGGTCTTAATTCTCTTTCATTTGGACTATCTTTTGTGCAGTATCCACCAAAGCTTTGAAAGCATTACCTATATTAACTCCATTCTCATTTCTCCCTCCCACATTCTTCTTTGATGCAGACTTCCCTCTTGCCAGTTGCCATTGCTCTTCACTTGGCTTGTTGTTTTGGGCCTCTTCTTTATCCTCTTCCACTTGTTCTAGAAATCTTTCACTTGTATCTATTTTATCAATCTTTGGATCAAGTTTCCTCACAACTTTCCATACTTGTTTCTGGTTCTATGCTCTATAGTTTTGTTGTCCCCCCCTCTTGTTTCTGCATTTGCTGGTTATGATATGAGTGGCCAATTTGATAGCATATTTGGCAATATTGAGGCCTCCATTCATATTGTACCAGCTGCTCAATCACCTTACCTGTAGGATCAATCAATTTAATTGTCCCTAGTAAATTCCTTGTTATGTCCATTTCAACTAGAATCCAAGCATATGAGGTCCTATCAATCACAGTTGTGTATGCATCAGCATGAAGAGGTTTCCCCAATCCACTTCCAATTTTACTAAGGGCTAGGTTACTCCAATAACTCAGTGGAAGTTCTGGGAATTTAACCCATAGAGGAATAGTTTTCAGCACCTCTTCACTAAAATCAAATCCCTCAGTCCATGCTTTAATATTACTGGTCTACTATTCATAGTATAAGGCCCATTCATCAATACCACATCCCTTTCTTCTAGATTATGCATCAAAATTATAAAGTATCCATCATTGTGAAATAGTACCTTAGGCTTCCTGATTTTTCCCCATTGACCAGCAACAAATTATTCAATAGCTTCTATAGTTGGAGTATTTTCAATTACATACATAATTATTGCTCGATTCCATTTATGCTTCTCCTCAACTTATGTCTTCTTTCAGAATTTGTATTACTACTTCACCCTCTTGCATCACCGGTGGTATATATGTTAGATCCACCCCTTTTGCAATAAGTTTGTTTTCATCACTACAAAAAAAGGGTAAATTGCGGAGGTTTATTTGCGGAGGATACAAGGAACCTCCGCAATTTACATAAATTTGCGGCAATATATTAGCCCCCACAAAATTATACAATTTATGGGAGTCTAAAACCATTCGCAACCCTAAAATAATAGCGGGTAATTTATTTCAGACTCCCTCCAATCTTTTTCACCTAGAAACTTCCGCCCCTCCAACAACAAAATACACTGTCTTCTTCTTCTTTGAACTTCTCTTTTCCTCACAGAGAAAGAAATCTTGTGTCCTTGTCCTACGCTACATTTGGAAACTGTCTTCTCAATTTTCTCCTTATTGAGTGTGAGGCAAAATACACCCGTTCATTATTTCTTCTTTGATTGAGTCCACTACAAATCTTTGCCAATAATCTCCTTCTTCCAGGTTTGATTTTTCTCTTTTCTCCTTATTTCCCCTCATGGGTTTTCTGTTAATTTTGAATTTTTGTGTGTATTTTGGTCGATCTGTATGATTAAATGGTGTTTGATATTGAAATTTTGTGTGTATTAAATGGTTGATCTGTATGAATTTTTGTGGGTATTTAGTTTGTTTACTTTTTTCTAGTGTCTCCCGTTTCCATGTGTTGTCCATATTTTTTGTAGAATAGGTAAATGAATAGTTGCTTCGAACTACTAATAGGTTGTAGAGTATTATTATTTAGTACTCTAGTTATGATCTTTATGGGGGTGAAGTTAAAAGATAAAATTGAAGGAGAAGCCTATGCCCCAAAATATGAGAATTCTGGAAAAACTTACAGGAAAGGAAAACGTCATACAAGTTTGAGACATGTTGGCAGGGTTTAGCCACTATAGTTTGATGAAGGTGAGACATGGGAAAGCTGGAAATATAATTTTACATATCACAAATATGTAAAGAGAGCTGACAAGGAAAAATAAGTGTCAAAACTAACAAAGCTACAGTATGTGTCAACTAAGGCACTAGGACTGATATGATCAAAATAGAAAGTATATCAAATAAATTGGAGCTGAAAGTAGAATCATATTGGAAATGACCCAAACAAAAGGCAGAGCAATTTGAGATAGATGCAGTATATTTTGATAAAGGAGATAGATGCAGTATTTTACCCACATTCACATTAATAGACATGTTTTGAGGCATGCAACACTTATACTTCTGTTTGAAAAATGCTTTCCCATAATTTCAAATGTTAAAAGTATGCCAGACAAAAAAAGTCAGAAAATTTAGGAATTCACACCTCATAATCCTAATTTGTCAATTTAACAAACACTAATAACATAACTTTGTAAAAGCAACTAGTAATGTGGGTCAGATATTATATAGTATGAGTTGTCATTATAGCCACCCACTGGAAACCAGCATTTCTGGTTCATTACTTGAGATATTATATAGTAAATTCTGAGAAATTTACTGTTTAGGAAGGGAAAGTCGTTGAATCTACTTATTATTGTTGGGAGATATGACTATGACTATGCAAATGCATTCTTTCTTAGAGGATTTTCAAGTTTGGTAGTGTTTATGATTATAGTTGGCTTTTGTTGTATGTATTTATTGCTTCATAGTTAATATTTTGTATTCTAATAATAGAGAACTGATATTTTCTCTTTATATTTTGAAAGGTTCATCAGCGGCACTTGAAAGTTAATACTTTTCTATGGATAAATCTTGGATTAGAAAGCCAAGGAACACCAAAAAATATTTATTTGGTTTAAATCAGTTTTTAGATTTTGCATTTGCTAATGCTGTTGTTGGAGATAGAATAAAGTGTCCTTGTCCTAAATGTGGATTCGCAAAGTGGCAAACTAGAGAGGTAGCGCTCGAACATTTGATTTGCAAACCATTCCCTCAAAATTATGTCACTTGGACTATTCATGGTGAAAGAAATATACTGCCTAATTCTATAAATAATGTGGTTATACAAGATACATTACCTCCTAAAAATCCAGTAGAATTATTGATTAATGAAGCATTTGGGGGCCTAAGGCACGATGGGGTTGATGTAGGTCCGTCACAAGTAGCGGGTGGTGAAGAAAGGTTAAATGATGAGCCTGCTTCAAATGATAAAGACTTTTTCGAGTTTCTTAGAGATGGAAGTCAAGAATTGTTTGAAGGGTCCAAGTACTCAAAACTAGAATTTTTATTAAAATTGTATCACATAAAATGTTTGTCTGGGCTAAGTGACAAGGGAATGGCCATGATACTAGATTTGTTGAGGGATGCATTTACATTTGCACGGATCCCTCATTCTTTTTATGAGGCCAAGAAAACTATCAGCAAGCTTTGTCTTGATTATATCAAGATAGATGCTTGTCCAAATGATTGTATGTTATTTTGGGGGAATGATGCTAATGAGGAAACATGTAAGTATTGTCACACTTCTAGGTGGAAGCCTAATAAGAAAAGAAATGAAGATCTTGTGTCTACTACAGGTAATAAGAAAACAAGAAGAAAACTAAGAAGCCTGCAAATATTTTGCGTTACTTTCCATTAAAACTAAGGTTGCAGAGATTGTTCATGTGCTCTAAAATAGCAAAATATATGAGATGGCATGCTGAGGATAGTAACGAAGATGGAATCATGAGGCATCCTAGAGATGGTGAGGCATGGAAGAGGTTTACAACTTTTCCTGGATTTGCCATTGATCCCGTGTTCGGCTTGGCCTAGCTAGTGATGGCTTCAATCCTTTTGGAACGATGAGTACTAATTATAGCATTTGGCCAGTCATTTTAGTTCCATACAACCTTCCTCCTTGGTTGTGTATGAAACCATCCAATTTTATTCTCTCAATGATCATTCCTGGTCCACGTACGACGAGAAATAACATAGATGTTTACCTACAACCCCTTATTAAGGAGTTGAATGAGTTGTGGAGTGAATGTGTCGAAACTTTTGATTCATCAAAGAAAGAGATGTTTAGATTGCGAGCTACTCTTATGTGTACAATTAGTGACTTTCCTGGACTTGATATCTTATCTGGTTGGAACTCACATACTGGTTTAGCATGTCCCACTTGTAATTTTGATGCAGAACCTTGTCGACTTCGCCAAAGTAGAAAGTGGTGCTTTATTGGTCATCGTAGATTTTTAGCAAGAAATCATAAATTTAGACTGATGAGGCATCACTTTGATGGAAATGTGGAGGAAAGAAACCCACCGAGAAAGTTATCCGGATCTGATATTTTGCAACAAGTGAAAGATATTGATGTTACATTTGGAAAACCGACTGAGTTGAATGAGAGAAGAAAAAGATCTAGACAAAGAAATATTGGGCAAGGTGCAACACAACAATGGAGGAAAAAAAGCATATTCTTTAATCTTCCATATTGGGAGTTCAACTCGTTGCGCCACAATTTAGACGTCATGCACATCGAAAAGAATGTGTTTGACAATATTATATATTCTTTGCTTAATGATAAAGACAAGTCAAAAGATAATATTAAGGCGCGAAAAGATTTGCAAGATATGGGTATAAGGCGTGATCTTTGGCCCGACGAGAATGATGAGTGTAGGCTTGCTGTATTTACCATTCCAAAGGAAAAGAAAGTGGCTTTCCTCATAACTTTAAAGAATATTTCAGTGCCGGATAGTTACTCGAGTAATATTTCTGATTGCATTGATCCGGACCAAAGGAGAATCTTTGGATTAAAGAGTCATGATTGTCACATTATTATGGAGCAATTGCTACCAATAGCAATTCGCAATGTGCTGCCAAAGGAGGTTGTTGCAGTCTTAGTAGAGCTTTCCTTTTTTTTCAGAGAACTTGTCTTAAAAGTTTGAGTTTGGCAGATTTAGAAAAGTTACAAGATCGAATTGTGCTCACACTTTGCAACTTGGATATATTATTCCCACCATCATTTTTTACTGTAATGGTCCATTTAACTGTCCATCAAGTAGATGAAGCAATACAAGGTGGTCCGGTACATTATAGGTGGATGTATTTTGTTGAAAGGTAAAATATTTCTTATCTGAAATTTTGATGTATGTAATATTAATTCAAGTTAAGTGCTTATTCTAAACTTGTTTCATTTTTTGTTTTAGATTGTTAGGTCATTTTAAGTCCCTAGTAGGGAATAAGGCACAACCAGAAGGTTCCATAGCTGAAGGTTACATTGTTGAAGAAGCTCTAACTTTTTGTTCTCGTTACTTTGAGGGGATTGAGTCAAGGCTGAATAGGCCTAGACGTGTGAATGATGAACCAAATCTTAATGAGGCTTCTGAAATATCATCTATCTTCCCTCCACAAGGTAAACCAGTTGGAGGCTCCTCAACGTTCCCATTAACTTCATTAGTGAAGACGCAAGCTCATCGATATGTGTTATTTAATTGTGCGGCAGTGAAGCCATTTATTGAGTAAGTAAATAAAATTGATATGAATATTGGCAAAAGTTTAGAGTTAAAATAATTAAAATTGATATAGTTAGCTCATTTGAAGTGAGTTTAGGGATTACATAAGAAAGAACACAAGAGGACGGAAACCTTCAGCATCAGATTTGGAGAGGAGGGTTAATAAGGAGTTTCCTGATTGGTTCCCAAAACGGGTGAGTGAATGGTATAATAATTTTTGCTTCACATAGCTTTTCTCGTTGGATTTAATATGCTTGATTAAAATAAGTTTGTTATTATTAGATTATGAACCCAGAAATTGTAGACACCATCTCTACTGAACTGAAGTTCCTAGCACGAGGTCCAGCGCCAGATGCTAGAAGGTTCACTGCTTATAACATCAATGGATTCAAATTTCGAGTTTTGTCTAGAGATCAAGGATTAAAAACTCAAAATAGTGGAGTTTTTCTTACTTCTGACACCTCTTGTGTTGCATCTAGTGCTGATAGAAGTGCAAGGCACGCAGACTTGCCATACTATGGGAAGTTAGAAGATATTATTGAGCTTAATTATTATCGATTCACAGTTGTGCTCTTCAAATGCCAGTGGGCAGACACTACTCGAGATAGAGGGTTCAAAAGAGATGCTTGGAATTTTAATTGTGTCAATTTTTCTAGATTGATTCATATTGGTGATCGTGAGGATGATGATCCTTACATTGAAGCATCTCAAGCAAATATGGTTTATTATGTTGATGATGAAACAGATAAAGAATGGAGTGTGGCTGTACATCTAAAGCCGAGAGATTTATTTGATATGGGAGAGGTTGATGAAAATGAAATATGTGAGAATCAACCATACCAGCAACAAGAACTTGAACAATTTTTTAATGATGCTTATGAGAATATCCAAATTGCAATAGATGAGCATATGTCTGAATAGGCATGTCAATTTTCCTGTATCCTTGTATGTTTATTTTTTTTCTTCTATATATATGTACTTTATTTTGTATTTTGTTTTTTTATTTTTTATATTCTATTACTTATTATTTATTTTATTGATTGCAGATATGCCGAAGACCAAACGTTTCCAGAATTTACAAAAGTCAGTTCAATCAGCATCTTCTTCACAATCTACTGATGCGGCACCAGATATGATATCACTATTTCAGGCCACAACACAGCCAAGGCAGCAAGCTCTTTCATTTCAAGCCATGGGGCAGACAACTCCTTGCATTCATCCGACTCCTTTATTTCAGGCGACATCACTACCAGCTCCTTCATTTCAAGCCACAAGACAGCAAACCGCTTCATTTCAGGTCACAACACTGCCAACTCCTTCATTTCAGGCCATGGGACAGACAACTCCTTCATTCTAGGCCACGGGACAAACAACTCCTTCATTTCAACGTCCAATTAATTCCACACCAGCACAAGCAACATCCAATAAGCATGCTAAACGTGAGTCTTCACATCATTGGACTGTCGATGAAATAGGTAATATTTATCCTTTCGTTGATGTATAGGACTTTAGAGTCTAATTGTGGGAATTTGTCTAATTATTGCTCTTGGCATGTCTGTTGAATTTTGTTTGATATTTCTGGTGATTTATACTTCTATTAAGTAACAAGAGTCCGTTTTCCTTCTGATAAGGCAGCATATGCCTTCTATGAGCTAAGCAACACAACATTGTGTGGCTGTTGAGAGCTTCTTGGACGCAACATGTTTTATATGGTTGTACTGATTTCCTGATTGCAGACTATGAAATCTTTGTTGCCATGGACTATTGTACATCTGTTGCTGCTTCACATATCTTCTCCTATGTGTGGTTGTTACTATTTGCTAGATTCAAGATAGGACTAGGTTACTTTAAAAATTGTTGTATCTTTTGTGGATTGATGTTAGTTTCTTACTATCTGCTCCTATGTATGTATTGTTACTATCTGCTCCTATGTGTGTTTCACAGTAATAGTATCTTTCAATATAATGATTATTCAAACCTCTCTATACCATATCTCTTACCTTCACTTTCTTGCTTTTATTTTTATTTATTAAAGATTCACATGGAGATACTAAAAGGCTCAAATTGAAGACTAGAGAAGCATTAAGTTTACCTCAGGGAGAACGTGTTGTGGTGGAGTTTGATTGCTTGGATCCGATTGGCGAAGCACAAGGCCTTCTTGCAGGCGTATGTGGCCTTTTAGCAACTGACTGTACCATATTTCCAATTAGCTTTGATAAATGGTCGGATATGCCTAAGTCATACTTTAACGACTGCTTTAATAAAATTATAAAGGTATAAGCTCTATATCTTTATAACTATATCTCTATTTTGTATTTTACTTTTATATTTGTATATAAAAGATAAACTAACCAAAATTTATTTTTGAAGTCTCATTTCTGTTTTATGAACATTGAGGAAGTTGCACGAGAATATGTTTATCGCTCTATTGCAAAGAAGTGGGCTACAAGTAGGCAGAAGTTGTTGGATGAGTTTAAAGACCCACTTAAAACCAAAGATGAGATTATGGATAATTTTCCGGTGGGTATTACTCGGGATCAATGGACTTTCTTTGTGAACTACCGTTCTAAAGAAGAAACTCAGGTATTTTTCTTAAACGTCACATTGAAATGCATAAAAATATGATTATTCATTTATATAATTGACTGAAATATATCTTATTGTTAGAACATGTGTAAAAGAAATGCTGAAAATCGGAAGAAACAAACAGTTCCACACACCGGTGGCTCCAAACCTAATTCTAGAAGAAGGGCTGAAATGGTGAAAGACGTCACATTATTTACCTTACTTTACTATTTAAATTTTAGATATTGTATCTATTTCTTTTTCTTAATTAAATTATTCTGAATTAGTTTTGTTTTCATACATAGATGGCTGAGACAGGGAGAAAGCCTGGACGAGCACAACTTTATCTTGTTACACATACGAAAAAAGATGGATCATATGTAAATGAGGAGGCAAAAGAAATATGTGTAAGTTACATTCATGATTGTTACAAATGATTTCCATGGAGTGATTTATATTCTGAATATCTCTACAAGTTTTGGCACATCTATTACACTTTTCCTTATCTTTATTCCACTTCCACTGATAAGCTAAAGTTGGGGAAATGTAGTAAAAAAAGAGTTGGACGAATGTCGAAACTTCAAAGAAGCCTTGTCTCTACTATTTTGTTTTTTTCTTGTAAAATTTTTGTTGAAACCTTGTATATTATTATGGCACGTTATTTATAATATGTATGCCTCTAGGCGATACTTGCACAAGTTATTAGATATTTCAGTTTTTGAATAGCATAACTGAATGTTGCAAGAGCAGTAATGAATGTTGTGCCACTCCACGATTTGATAATCATGACACTTTATTTATTCTTAAGAATGCCATGATTAACCATTGTCTCAAGTCCCATCTAGTGTAGATAAGTCAATTTTGGTTTACCTCAGTCTTTTTGGCTCTTAAGACATTGCTGTTCTTTTGTGTTTGCCTTTTTTTTTTTGCCTTAAAAGATTTATGTGACTTAAAACTTGTTATTGGATAAGTTGTCTTGAATCTATTTACATTGAGTTGGTCACCCCATCCATGAGTTTTTGGCACTGCACATCTATTTTTCCTCCAGTTGGTTCAGTACATGTGTTGGTTTGGATTAATGTTTACAGGCAATTGCTAATTCTAGTTAATAGATTTTTGTGATGTGTATTGTGTTTAGGAAAAAATTGAGCTAGCAGTAAGTGAAAGTACAGTGGATGAGTCTGAAATTTCTCCAAATGATGTTGTTGGTAAGAAGCTAGGCAAAGAGCATCCTGGAAGGGTGAGATGTTTGGGATTAGGAGCTACTCCAAGTAATACTTTCAGAGAGACAAATCTTCTTCCTGGTAATATTAGAATTGTGAGTAATAATGTCGGATGTTCTTCTTCTGGATGCCAAGAGAAGTACAATCAATTGATGAATACTCTCAAAGCATACATGATAATGAAGGAAGGGTCAATACCAGAACAATTTGTTGGGATCTTTGCTTCTACTCCTACAACGGTAAATGCTAAGTTCTTTTATTTTTGGTGTATTGTGCAATTTTATCTATCACATCTATTATTAAAAGTAGTTTATTTTTGTTTTTAGTTAGTAGTGAGCAGGCCTTTATTTTTCTGTTCCTATTAAATTGTGAAATGTGGGTGTTTTCTTGGAATAATATATTCTGAAAGTGCAGAAACACAATTAACATATTTAGTTGAAACATGATGAATAACTACTTCATATTGCTCCTTAATACTGGCTAAAACTATAAGTGGACTTGGCTTTTTAATATCAATACAAGAGAAAATTCTTGTTCAATTCGTTTGCCCATTAATCTTGTCATTCCAACGTTAGATTCAGTTTGCTGCAATTTTAGTCCTTATTATGGATTTGTCAAGATACTCCTTTGACTTTAGTTCTGCACCCTCATTTTCACACATTATTTACTTTTTGCTGCAGCCGAGAGATGCAGCTAGTGGACCCGTTTCACCGACGGATGCAAGAAGATCTTCTGGCGCTAGTAATCCCTGTGACATCCATTGAGATTCATTTTAATTGAAGTGGATGTATTATGACAGTGTAATAGCTGACTAATATAGATGATTAACTATGTTCTAGTTTAGCTTAATGACATATGATACTACTATGACAGTATTTTTCACGGTTAATGAAATGTTGATGTTTCTTAATTTTAATATTTTGGTTTAAGCATAAATATCTCAATTGATATTAGGGAAAAAGTATGACGTATTGATGATAAAAAATCAATTCTATAATATATTTAAATATAGATGAGGTTAAACCCCCAAAAGAAATTGGATAGATTCTGATGGTGTATAGATACGAAATTGCGGGGGTTTACAACCCCTACACTAAAAAAAAATTTAAATTTTAAAAACAAAATTTTGTTTTCGCGCATGAAATTGCGGAGGTTAAAATTGCAATTTGCGGAGGTTAGAAACCTCCGCTATTTGTTGTCATGGCGGTTCGTCAAGCCCCCGCATTTAACTGCCGCAAATTAATAGTGGCGATGCTTACTACGGGGTGTGCTCAACCGCCGTGACGGCAAATAGCGGAGGTTCTTAACCTCCGCAAACTGCAATTTTAACCTCCGCAATTTACCCATTTTTTTGTAGTGCATGAAGTAATCCTGCCCATGACCTTCCAATATTGTTTCTTTTCATCTATTTGTGCTTCTCTTCCTCAACTCGTACTGGTACTGTTCTATTGCTTTGCTCCATTAAAGGATTGGTAGTTACTGTTACATTGGAATTTGCTTTGCTCGTGCTCGCTCCACCAATGATGACCGGCGATGTGTTCAATTTAGGTATCCCTTGATTGAATGGACTCACTGGGCCAGCTGATTTTACTCGATTGCAGCTCAGGTCTGGCCAATTCAACTCACTATCACTGTCTAGATCTTCCTCATCCTCCTGCATTTTTCCTTTTGCATGTTGTTTTCCTTGGTCCCTTGTAATAATTTCTTTGATTCCGCGTTCAATGACTGGCGTTTTGCTTTGGTTCTTCCTAGGCCTCCCTCTTCCTCCCATTTCCGGCGACTGGCACAGGTTATTACATCTAACGTGCTCCTGAGAGAGAGAGAGAGAGAGAAGTTTTAATCGTGGTTACTATTTATTGATTTTTCCAATGAAAAATACTGACTTGGCAGTCCAAATAGACGTTTGGACCATAGAGAATAATTGACACCCGAACAAAGTATATAAACTCACCCATACAACCGATCCGAACTGTTTATAAAGATAAAAATCCACCAAAACGTCTTACAACGATCTTTCGTATAAACGTGTCGGATCGAGACGGATTAGGTGTATGAGTGAATTTTGTTATTTTGTTTTGGTATTAATTAATTTATGTAGTCCAAAAGTATATGTGGACTGCCAAGTCAGCATTTTCTACCGAAAAAGTCAATAGATCTAGTTGAGTAATCATCAAAGTGCAATTAGAATAATTGAATGATTTTCTTGTTACAAATGAGAGAAAAGTAACTTTATTCAATAATTTCACATAGTTCAGTCCGAGCAAGAAAAGAGAGTCTGATATGAACCTCATGTATACTGTTAATTTTCTACCCCAGCAGCTAGTTTCTTTCGTGATGAAGTAAGAATTCAAAGGATGGAGTTTGCTTAATTTCCCATTTTGGTGTGTCTTTATCACCAGCTTTTTTGACATTTTTCCAAGTACTGTAATGGACAAAATCCAACAGGAGAGTAACATGTACACTGGCGGTAGTGAACTGTTATTCTGTTATTATGTTGGATTGACTGCAGGTTTTTCGAGTTACGAGCCCTCCCATAACCAAATATTTCATCTGGTTTGTTTATTTTAGTTTCTTTCCAACCAAGTCGTACTTCATGACTCTGAACTGTTGACAATAGAAAAGGAAGAATTTCTTTGTTGTACTCCCTCCCTTTCAAATAAGATAAAATATTTTTTTTAGTCTGTTCCAAAATAAATATATTATATATTTTAAAATTTGAAAATAATTTAACTTTAAACTCTTTATTTTACTTTAAATGAGAAGCTTTTATAATCACAAAAATGTCATGGCCCCACAAAGCTTTTATCTCTTAAGCTTTTAAGACCACAAATTTCAAAAGTCTTTCTTTTTTTCTTAAATTCCGTGCCGAGTCAAACTACCTCATCCAAATTGAAATGGAAGGAGTAGTATATTTTTGTTTTCCTAACTGCTGTAACTATGTATTTTTTGAGACGAGTGTCTATCAGAAATTATTTTTCCGTTGTACCTTCACAAGATAGAGATAAAGTTTGCGCACATACTATCCTCCTTTGACCGCACTTTGATTTTTTTTTCTTTTTTCTTTATTTAGTTACATTCCAACCAAGTCGTACTTAGACTTTTTCGGCTGCTTATGTTCAGAAAGGAAGAATTGCACTCACCAAAAAAAAAAGGAAAAAATAAAATGCACTTCCATATTTAATTTCAAATATGTGGTACATGGAATGGCCCTAAGAAGAAAATTTGATATGATTTAATTTCTATACGCTTAAAAGCATTTTAATACTATTACGACATAGGATAACTGTTTATGACAAGTAAATTAGTAATTTGAAAAAGAAAATAAGCTATTTGCTAAAACGGATTGAAATATACTACTATTAATAAAACAAAATTAGAGTATCGATGTACATAAATTAGGTCCTTCATAATTAATTAATATGAAACAATCCTTAGCTCCCTACATATCACCCTCCATTATACTAAATGGTTTTTATTTATAATGGTATTTTGAATTGAAGGAAAATAAGTCAAGAATCAAGAAACACTCAGTATTTCAAAATTGTGGTTATATCCTACCTAAATTACATAAGATTATTGCAATAATATTAGAAGATCTCATTTTTTCGGGAATCTTTACAAAGAGTTTTTCAGTGAGGGAGCGAGTTTTCTTTTTTCTTGTATTTCCGAAAAGAACGTAGATTAATTATCAAAAATTCCTAACG